CATTAATGACACTTGTGGATTTTCAACCTTATAGCACCATAACTATGAAATATGTTGAGATTTACAATGGACTCCATGAAATTAACTAGTTACAAACATATATCTAACAATCTCCTCTTTTTCTCTTTACTTGGGAGGGGAGCCTAAATCTATATATGTTACTTGGTATGGGGCTTCTCCCAAGGCCATCACGATCAATTGTTCTGCCGAGCGAACTCTTTCCACTTTCTTTGAATCTCTTGGGTCAAGATTATCTACATAGCACATTTCCACGGTATAGCTATTCTTGGTCGAGGCTAGCAATGACCTGATTTTGCCTTACCTCACCTACTTCGTCCTTGGTAGATAAATGAGGGAGTAGATGATATGTAAAAGGTACTACTCTTAGTGCATTGAAGGTCGATTGTCCTAGAATGATGTTGTAGGCAAAGGGACAATCCATTACCAAGAAATCCACAAAGTAGGTAACCTGGTGAAGAGGTTTACTCAATGTGATAAGGATGGATATAGCTCCCAATGGATAGGTTTTTCTCTCTTGAAAAATCGACTAGATGAGCTCTAACTGGTCTAAGGTTGTATCCTTCAATATCCAGATGATTAAAGGCATTGACAAAGATTATGCCTGCTGCTTTACCATTGTCAATTAGGACCCTCTGTATAGTATTATTTGAAACGATAATAGAAATTATTAGTGGATCATCATGAGAGAAGCGAATTCCTTTGAGGTTCTAATTCGTAAAAGTGACAGATGGGCGTTTTGGGGGTACCTTTCCTAGATGTACTAGGCTGATCTCTTAAGCATGTGATTGGGCTTTTCTGGTGTTTGCTCTCTTGGCAAAGCTACTTTATCCTCTTGCTAAGCTTTCAGAGATGACCTTTGTCTCCCCTAGCTGTTGTTGGTGCTCGCGAGGTTCTGTAGGAGGAGTTCTATCTTCTTTCTAATTTATGTCCACAAACTTATTCAAATGCCCTTGTCGAGTTAGCTTTTTTAATATGATCCTTGAGGATGATGCAATCTTCTGTGTGATGGCCATGATCACAATTCAATTAGTAAAACTTATCTCTTACCCATTTTTGGGGAAGTGTTTTGGCTTTGTAGGCCATTTTAGTACATTATTGTCTTGTATTTGGTAAAGAACTTATTCAACTGAGGTAGTGAGAAGGGTATAACCTTGATACCTTCCTAACAGGGACTAAGGTCCTAACCTCTCTCTTGCAGGTACATGGTCTATCTTCTTTTTTTTTTTTTTTTGAAAGTGTTAGCCTTGTCAGGCTTCTCCTGATTTTTTCGCTTCTTTTTGGAAGGACGGTCCGCCACTCCTTTTCTGGCATTGAAGGCGTCCTCCACATTCATATGGCACTGACCTCTAGAGAAAAAAAAATCTACCATGTTTATAGGTGGAGTCTTACAAAGTGAAAACAAGAACTTAGAGGGCTAAATTCCTCCCATGAAGACAGTCAAGGGCTACCTTGTCATCAACATTGTCTATTTGTAAAGACTCTTCTGTGAACCTTGCCGTGAACTGTGGAAGTGATTCTCCCTTCATTTGCTTGAGATTCACAAGGTAGGTGGCATGCTTCATATGCGTTCTTCCTCCAATAAAATGTTAAAGAAATGATTTGCTAAGTTCCATAAAAAACCTAATAGACCACGGAGTGAGTCTATTGAACCAAAGACGGGTTGGTCCCTTGAGGGTGGTAGGGAGTGCTTTACACATAACTTGATCTAGAACATTGTGGAGTAACATCAAAGGTTTATACGCTTTCAAATGGTCCAAATGATCTTTTTTTTTTCCATCAAAACTATCTGTTGAAGGCAATTTGAATTTTGATGGGAATGGATAGTGTGTGACATCATGTGAAAAAGTGGATTCTAGGCATTGGACCAAATTTTCCACAATTTCTGGAGTTGTGGCTTTGCCAGTATTCATAACATCGCCAATTCAATCGTTGACTTACTTGAGTTTTTGGTCCAAATATGCATTCACCTCTTGTTGGTGAAGAGTATCGTTATGGCTAGAGGTTTGTTGTGTGCTGCTTATGTTGGCCATCGAGGGCTTGAAGGATTTGTTGAGCCAAACCTTCAATGGTTTGGTTTAGTCTTTCGTAGTTCCTCTCTAAGTTGAGTACTCTTTGAGTCTCTTATGATCTATTAGCCCGTGGGGGTTCTCTATCATGGTTGTTTCCTTCTTTTATCCCTTACGAATTTTTCTCTCTTGAGGGATCATCTCCGATTACATGTATGATCTGCTAGTCACCATCTATAATTTTTATTTTAGTGAATCGCACATCAGCGTAGCATTGGTTCGGCTCTCTAGAACTTCAAGTGAGGGTTCCACAACCTAGAAGACCTGAAAGGGAAGTCAAAGACCGAAGGGGGGAGCTCCGGGGGTCGACCCTCTGATGCTTAAGTTAGTAGTTATTGGAAGGGATCTTAAGGTATTTGCTAGGAAAGTTCTTGCGTACCTTTGGTCTTCCCCCAAACTCCCTTTTATAGTGTTTTAGATGTTTATTGGGTGAGGAATGGACTATAGGCTCCTCTGTTTGTTTTGGGATGTTACGTCTTCTTTTTTTTTGGAGTCTAATATCCCTTATCTTTACAGAACTCTCTTTTTGGTTGGAGTCTATCTTCTCGAATGGTGGGAAGAACTCCTCTTTATGGGAGAGTCTTTTTAATCCTATATAGGCTTGATAAAAAGGCAGGGAGTCCTTTGATTTGCGGAATGTCCGCCTTTTAACTATTTGTCTCCTATAGGCGTGTTGTGGACCTTATCTGGGGGCCTTTTGATTTTTGAATTGTAGATAACGTGAGCCACATGATCCCTTTCATGTGCTTGCTAGGTAGGGAGAAACTTGATCACTAAGATTGGGCTTGCTTCAAGCTTTCACAGTATAGCTAGAGCTCTACCAATCTGCCAGCAGTGATATTTTAAAAGATGGAGCGTTGCTAGAGATTTCCCATCTCAGTAATTAATTTTCTCCCACATCAATGTCCAAACCACCTCTGCCGATTCTCTCTTAATTTATCTCCTATTGATGTTACTGCTATGGTTTTATGAGTATACTCATTTTTAATTCTATATTTTTTTGTTTATCACACATTCATCTTAATATTCTTATTTTTGCAAATTTAGTTTTTGAGCGTGTTGTTTCTTAATTGCCCACCATTCTGTCACATAAAGTATTATTGATCTAATGGCTATCATATAAAACTTAACTTTCAACTTTAGATGTATATTCTTTTATCTTGATCAAAAAAAAAAAAACTTAAGAGTTATACGTAGATCACACAATACACTAGATGCATTCTTCCATTTAATTCATCATGTTTTAATTATAAGATTAACATTGTCTCCCATCTCGCCCTCCCCCTGGATAATTGACCCCGAATGCTTACAATGTTGGCTCTTGAGTATATCTTGATTTTCGATCTCTACCTTCCTATTTAGGTTTTTATTATTACTAAAATTACATTCTATATATTCGGTTTTATTTCTACTTATCTTAAGTCCTTTTGATTGTAAAGTTTCTCTTCAAACTTCTAGTTTTTTGTTAATTCCTACTTTAATTTCATCAATCAATACTATATCACCAGCAAATTATATAAATCATGGAACCTCTTTGTGAATGTGTCTAGTCAATTCATCCATAATTAAGGTAAAAGATAAAAACTTCAAGTGGAACCCTGATGTAGGCCTACTGTAATTGAGAATTCACTACTTTCTCTTGCAATTGTTCAAACTAAGGTCACTACATCCTTATATATAGCTTTAATCGTATCAATATATCTATTTGTTGTAACTCTCTTCTTCTCTAAAATTTACCTATCTCCCTAGGTACTCTATCATATGCCTTATCTATCGACTCCTTTGTGCATTGGGTACGACCATTATCATTTTTCTTGTACCCACCAAACTCCAAAGCTTTGTTATCGACTCCCATTGTACATTAGTGACGACCATTATGGTGGAATCATCTTTTCTAGTCAACTTTGGCCACTAACAATAAGTTAAATGGGGCAATGGTATTTCCCTGTTCAATTTTCCCATTTGATAACAATTTAAATATTTTTTATGAAAAAAATAACCAACCCGGTCTTCTATTGAGTAAAAACCATCATGACCCATCAAATTATTATGATGTTATTTGAAATGAAAGTCATTTGGTTTGAACGGATGTCAGAGCATGGTAAGGGAAATTAAGGGTACTTCTTTTGGTAGTGGAGAATCGTCTAAGCCATAAATCATTTGGGATTATGACTGTAACATAAATTTTGGATGCACACAATCACTTGTTAGCCATGAGCGGGTTTTGTTTAATAGTATTGTTTCCAAGGGTAGTGCACTAAGAATAGAACCTAATTAGTGTGTGTGTGTGAGACAGAGAGAGAGAGAAGTTGAACGGAGATGAGATGAGATGAGAGACGATATATAAGTGGACAGAGAAGAAAAGGAAAAAAAGAATATTTTTCTTGGGTGGAGGGGGGTGTTTGAGATATTGGAATTTGCATAAGATCGATTATTTATTATATGATTAAGGCATGATGGAATTTTATCTTAAGCTGGTTTTATAACTTAGATATATCGGTAAGGAACGGAAAACAGAAATATTTTTGGTAAGTGAAAAGACATACAAAAAAAAAAAAATATATATATATATATATATGTTAGTGCAAGTCTTGGACATGAGAAGATCATGTACCCTTTGTGTCCAAAAGGAATAAACCCCAAAATTCAAAATATTACATAAGGGAAAATGTTATTTGAACCTAAAAATTTGATATAATTTATTGATTTGATGATGTAGTTTCATTGAAACCATTAAATTAACATTAAGTTCCAATATTCGAAAAAGCTCACAATCAATCCAAACATTATACTCCACTAACATTCCTCTTAGATAAGTACTGTCTGAGTCAATGGATTTGGTTGCACCACTAACCCCCCAAACACGTTGGGTCCACCACAAACGAAACCAAATGAAAACTCGTTGAATCAACTAGATTTCGAAACCAGATATAGTGATGTCATCCATGCTTACGTGAGGTTTTTCATATCTGTATTTGTTGAATTAATGATGCAATTCGTGCTTTAACCACTTGCTTATAATATTCCAATACATGCATTTGATTCCAACATCCTTCCTGCATATAACTATGACCATTGACCAAGACTCAGATCCAGAGAGAGAGAGAGAGAGAGAGAGAGAGGCTGCAGCAGCCACCCCATAAGCATAGGTAACTTATCAGTTGCTGCCTGATTTGTAATATATGCATTTGTATGCATATAATCACTTCTTTTCTCATCTTTGGTTTCCCAACAGCCACTCCTCAAAACTGAATCCCATTCAGCCTACAACCATGGAAGAATTCACTTATAAAGAAAAGGTAAAGAAGTATATTTTTTCAGTTTGTTTATTTAGTTGAGGCAAATATGCACAGATTGACTTCTATATCAGTTCATTTTGAAAGATTTAGTATAGAAAATAGCATTTGAAGTAATCACTCATCCCAAAGGATATTGATTCCTATTAGATTTAGTGATTCAAAGATAGCTTGAAAAAAGTCATAATTAACATTTTCTCAATTTATCACCAGATCTTGATTCTTTTCATATATATGTGCGTAACTAATGTTACTCTTTCACAAAATATTCCGTCATAATAGCTAGGAACAGTTGCTCCGGAGTGGCTAAATAAGGCTTATATAGCTAATTGAATTACTATAGAATCGCCTTGAATAATCATGACCTGGTTTTAGATGTGGTGTGTTTTTTAGCTATGCATACAGTTTCACAAATAAACTGTCCAAGACTAATCAGTCTTCTTCTTTTTTAGGTGGGAAATCTTCAGTCGGAGTTGCAACGGTTAGGTAAGGAGAATGAAAATCTAAGATTCATCCTAGAAGTTATGACCAGTGGATGCAAAATCCTTCAAGCCCAACTCCAGAATATAAAAGAAGATCAAATTAGAAGTGTCCTAATAGAGAATGAACCAAGATATGATTCAGAAAAGAGGGGGAGGACCCATGTTTCAGTGACCAAGCCTTCACAAATTTTCTTCAGAACCGACCCAAATGACAAGAGCTTGGTGAGTCCTTTAAAGGTTGTTCATGTATGACTCTCCAAACACTTGGTGATGACTAATATTTATATGTGCTCTTAATTTCATTATGATTTTAGATGGTGAACGATGGATTTCAATGGAGAAAATATGGCCAGAAGGTCACTAAAGATAATCCATCACCTCGAGCTTATTACAGATGTTCAATGGCTCCCTCTTGCCCAGCCAAGAAGAAGGTATATTCAAATCCTTTATTGTGA